ATAAACACTTAAGTTTTTTATAAATTGTTTTTTTCATGGATTACAATAGGATATGTAAAAAGTACATTTGCTTTCAACTATTTTTTAAGTAAAGCGGATAACATATCAGTTACTAGCTGATCTACAGTATAGTTCCTTATATTTTTCTGCTTGCTGTTGAGATTGTCCCCATATTTGACAAGCATATCATATGTGAGCCAAAAATGGCATGATATATATTTAATAGTGTTTCCAGATTGACATAATGGCAAACTTTTGCCAGCATTCTATTTTATGGCTAAGTCTTTAATATGGGACACAAACGATAGGTTGGAAACAGTTATAATTTCAAGATATTTGATAGAGTTTACAGGAATGGTTTTCTGGCCACTTAATCTAAAGTTTAAATTTTTAATGATTTTTGTTTTATTAGATTTAAATATGACCAGTTCAGTTTTGCTACAGTTGAGAGAAAGCTTATTTGAGCGAAGCCACTTAACTAAATTGGCAAGATCATGATTAATGTATTTGTTAATTTTTTTTTAAGATTTGTTGATAATGAGCAAGTTATTATCATCAGCAAAGTGATAAGAAGTTGCAAACTTAATTGAGTTATTAGGGTCATTAATATAAGGAAGAAAAAGTAGTGGTCCTAATACTGAGCCTTGAGGGACACCATTGGAACAATTTATTTGAGTAGAATTTGAGTCATTGACTGAGACAAACTGAGATCTGTTGTGAAGATATGAAGTAAACCATTTAAGAGGTATTCCTCTGATTCCATAATATTCTAATTTCTTGAGTAGGATAGAATGATCTACTGTATCAAAAGCTTTTTGTAGATCTACAAAGACACCACATGAAAAGTTTTTATTGTCAAGAGCTTTTCTAATGGACTCAGTAATTTTAATAAGTGAGTGAGTTTTGGAATGATTAGCACAAAACCCATACTGGTGTTTGTAAAGGCATTTAAATTTATTTAAAAATGCATAGAGCCTCTTACACATAGCTTTTTTAAAGAGTTTGCTTAGGTTTGAAAGAAGAGAGATAGGACGGTAGTTGCACATATCCATTGTAGAACCTTTTTTAAATATCGGAATGACTTTAGCAACTTTGAAAGCATCTGGGAATAAACCATTTTGAAATGAGTTATTTATAATAACACTAAGAGGTTTAGAAATTATGTCTGGAATAAGTTTAAGAAGGAATGAAGGAAGGCTATTAGGACCAAAGCTTTTTCCAATTCTAAGGGTGGTTTTAATAAGATTAAAGATTTCATTCTCTGTGACAGGATCAATAAAGAACCATTTAGAATTTGGAGAGTTGATATAGTCAGTAAATTTGGATGTTAAAGGTATGATTTTTTTTTGAAGTTTGTTTTGGATAGTAACAAAAAAGTTGTTTAACATATTCAAACCAGTAGTTTGATCTGTGATAATATTTTCTATCAATTTAAGATTGATAGTTGAATAATAGAAGGAAGGTTTTATATTAATGATTTCTTTTATCCTTTTCCATGTATTCTTAATATTGTTTAAGTTTTTACTAAAACAGGTTGAGTAATACGATTTTTTACTAACTTTTAGTAGATTGCTGATTGTGTTTCTATAAAATTTAAATTTAGAAAATAGTTTATTTTTAGTACTGATATCTTTACATTTTTTGCATTTTTTATATAGTCTGTTTTTAATGGAAATAGATTAAAGTATGCCATTGGTGATCCATGGTTTTGATTTAAGTTTAATTTGCTGCTTAGTTAGTTTTTTGTATGGAGCATGCTGATCTAATAGGTTTTCAAATGTCTTTACAAGAGAACTGATAGATTGATTTACATCATCATCTTTTTTAATATAGAGATCCCAATTAATATTGGAAACATCTTAATAAATATATTTTTGTTAAAGGTCTTGAAGCATCGTCTGTAAGATATACTTTTTTTAGGGTGGTTAGTTTTTCTAGAAATGCAGATAAAGTGAGCCATATGATCAGATATTGAAATAGTAATATTTCCATAGATTTGGTCAGGTGAATTAAAGTTTATAAAAATGTTATCAATAAGTGTTTGTGATTTAGCTGTTATGCATGTTGGCAGAATTATACCAGGATGTAATGAAAAAGAAATAAGTGAGTCAAAGTAGTTAGATATAGGATTTGATTCATTATATTTTAGTATATCCATATTAAAATCCCCCATAAGAAAAATACTTTTTTTTTCAATATTTAACTTATCTAATAGTGGAGTTAAAAAATTATTAGTGAAATCGTCTTGATTCATAGATGGATGTTGATATATGCAACCAATTATTATATTTTTTAAGTGAGGCTTTATAGTTTCAACAAAAATGGATTCTAGACATTTGGAAGAGTAGATCTTTAGGTCGTTGCGAACTATGTAGTTAAAATTAGAATTTAGGTATAGAAGAGCACCCCCTTTTTTAGCCTTAGTGGGGCAATGCTCGATGTTAAAACCATTTATAGATATGTTTGTTTTATTTGTATCATTTACATACAAATTTGACTCAGTAATACCTATTGCCACAGATAATATATTCAGAGTGCTAATAAAGCTGCAGAGATCATCAATGTGATATGGTAAAGAAGCAACGTTGAGATGAATATAAAGATCTGAATTAGGATTAATTTTTTAATTGAAATCTATGGTATCATAGTATTTACAATCAATTGAATCTTGGGGATTATTTAGATCTGAAATTGAATTTTTTAGACTTGATGTAGTGTCAAGAGAATATAGTAAAGTAGAATTCTTATCCAAAAAGGTTTGGTCAAGCTTAAGGTCAGAAAGAGAGCCTAACTGAATATTCTTAGATGGCATAATAAGGTATTAGGAGTGTAAAACAATTTGGTTATATTCAATATGATTTTAAAAGAAAAAAAAAGGAAAAAAAGAAAAAAAAAAGAGTTTGTTAGATAAATATAGCTTATAAACATTAATGTAAAATAGTAATAAATTCAAAGAGATGAAAGATTATAATGCAGTGGCTATAATATATAACAAAAAACATTAGCAACTAAGTATACAATAAAATTTATAATAAAAAGTACCAAATAGTATATAGTAATAACTATAATAATGAAAAAAAAATTAAAAAAAAATCAATAAACAGTACTTTAAAAAAGAAAAATAAGTAATTCGAGTACATAAACAACAATATCATCCCAATATACATACCAAAATATCATGGAAGTAGTAATGATAAGTGAATATAAAGGTACACTTAGTAAAGTATACTTAATATAAATACACTTATAATAATCCAGAACAAAAAGTACTTAAGTAGTAGAAAGTTAAAAAAGAAAAATAAAGAAAATTTAAAATAAAATAAGAAATCAGTTAACAAGCAAACACTTTCAAAAAAACAAGTCAGAGGTTTCAAATAACAAATAAATACTCTGGATAGCAAGTAAAAAAATAAAAAATCTTCTCGATATTTTAGCTTCTCTACTTATTCTCGCTTCTTTTCTGCTTATCTGATTCAATCGTTTTGTTCAATAAATTGCATCAATCACCCAAGTAATTTTCCATAATTTCCAACTTTTAAATGATTGAATTCCAAGTTTTAAAGTTGAGAATTTCAAGTTTTAAAGTTATGAATTTAGAGTTTTAATGAAATAGAGTTTCAACTTTTGAATGATTGGATTTTAAGCTTCCAAACTATAAGAACTATGGTAATAATTTAAATTCGCAACTACTTTGTCTTTTAAATTTAAAAGTTGATAATTTTTTTGTCTATTTTAAAAATATTTTTTCTAATGTTTTCAGGTTAACTATTATTTATTAAACTTCAGATTAGTAGTTCTTTCTTCTGATAGTATATATTTATTTATAAAAGAAATTACTGATACTTCTCTAATTGTTCAAAGATTATTAAATCAATAATTTATCTTTTCAAACACGTCTGCCATTTTTATTTTCCCGCCAAAACATCAATTTAAATGACTGAATTAAGAATATTAAATCAAGTTTCAATTTTCTTATACAACAATAGTGTAATAAAAATTTTGATGTTAATAAAAGCATTTTTTAAAGGCTTTTTATTATCTTTTTAAATCTTTTTTCTCTTTATTATTTATTTTTAGTATGATTTATATTATAGTTTTTATTTTTAAGTTTTGTTTAATATGTTTCTGAATGAAAAAAATGTTTTTTGAGTGATTGCAACTATTGCAACCAACTCATTTTTATTAAATGAGTTGGTTGCAATAATTGCAATCAACTCATTTTTATTAAATGAGTTGGTTGCAATAATTGCAATCTAGAACTATAAAAATTAAATTTATCATTATATTTTTTGGTTATAGGTTTTAGTTTATAATTTGTTCAGTCGTTCTGAGGAGTGTGTGCGGTTGTATTCCTTTTCTGACCACTCATATAACATTTAGTTTTGACAACTTGGCCGCAGCTCTTTGATTTGTTTTGATAATTTGTGCATTTTTAAAATATGCTGAAAGAACCAAACTAAATGATAAGAAAATTAAAAACAGCCATAACAGAAAAAATAATATAAAAAAAAAAAAAAAGAAGAAAATGAAAAAAAAAAAACTGAAAAAATTAAATCATATAATGTAATAGTTTTTAAATTTCAAAAAATCTTTTTTTAAATTTCATTTACTTTATAGATCAAAATTTTCAAAGTATTTAATTGAAACTTAATTATAAGCGAAATTTAAAATAATTTTTACATAGTATGCCTTCCCAGGAATAAATTGGTTGGTGTTGGGTATATAGCATAATGACCAAATTCAATGACATGTGATATGAACTACACACGATAGTTAAAAAAATGGTGTGCAGATGTGTTATGTAATAATTGATTTAAGTCAAGGAGAGAAACAGACTATATGTCCAAAAAATTTACAATAAAGAATTTTATAATCCGAGGTCAGAAAAGGTGTGCAACCATGCATGTCTCTTTAAAAACACTAATTTTCTAAGAGGTTTAAAATTAAAAAACACACAAACACACATTGTCTAATTTTAATAATTTTTTTTTAATGATTAGATTTTAGATCTGAAGTCAAAGTTTTCAGTTACTGAACTTGAAATTCATAACGTTTTATTTATCTCTGAAGGTTTTATTTTGTTTTGCATTTCTTTATTTTACTATATATTTTACTATATATTAAGTTAAAATTTTTATTTTTGTTTTTCTATGTTTATTTACTTTTAAACACTGGCTTTAACCAAGGACGTTCCATTTTTGATTTTTCAAGAACATTTAGAATTAGGGTTAGTTTGTGACATGTTTTGAAATAACTACTAAACAAAAAACTAAACCATTTTGGTTTTTTATTTTTAAGTTTTTGATATGATTAATTGTTGTTGATCGTAATGTTGTTTTGAATCCTTTTTATTACCACAAATGATTTTTATTTTCCCTGAGTGTTTTAAATTCTTTTAGATTTTAGTTCTTGTTCTTATTTGTTTTCTTGTTCTTTTTCTGTTTCAAGCACAAAATTCTGACAATATGATTAACAGTTTGTTTTGATTTTTCTGATAATAAGAATAACAACTAAAGTATTATAAAAATATAATTATATTAGCTGCCATGTTCCAGTTGTGACTGGCATTGAGATATGGCGTAGCATTACCTTATGTAGTCTTGTTAAATATAGTGTATCGTTAGCTCATATGGGCTCATATAATAGGCTCATGTAATCATGATCTTTATGTTGATGTTGTTTCATTTTTATGCAAAGAGATTAAGTGTGTTTTTATTATTATTGAAACTGCAATCAATCTTAACTTGATTTTTTAATTATTGATCTTTTGAATTAAGTTTTTTTTATTTTTTTTGTGAATAAAATGTTATTGAAAATTTTTTCAAAGTTACATCATTATTACCACTCCTATTACCCTATAACACATATGTAACAATCAGAGCCGATTCACTATACAGCAATTCATGGATAATAAAACTGCATTTGAGACACAATAAGGTGATTTAAATAGGCCTTAAAAGTATACTAAGGTAATGTAAAGTACTCTCAGAATGCTTTTCAGGTACACTCATTTACATTACATTCAACTCTTTCAGATTCTCTGACTTCTTTAAAAGTTATTTTTGAATATTTAAGACTTTAATTAGTATTGTTTAGAATATTTACTTAAATTTGTAAATATTTACTTGATTATTTAAAAATGTAGATATTTAAAATTTTTGTTTAGGTGAACAAATGAGAGCTGAAGAACTTCTTTATAAAAACATCAATGGAAATGAAATAAGGGAATCATTAAAGAAAATGCCAAAAGTGTTTTTTGAAAAACTAGCAGATCGTAGTATTCCAGAAGAAGTCTCGTTTTTTTTGTTTTCAATATTTTAATGAGTTATTGTATTTGTATATATATATATATATATATATATATATATATATATATATATATATATATATATATATATATATATATATATATATATTATATATATATATAGTTTGTGTATTTTGTTATACAGATGAACATTTTATTTGTTTTTACAAAATTATTTTTATTTTTTTTTTAAATCATTTATATATTTTTTTAAAATTATTTTTTTGGTTTTGATTTTTTTCTTACTTTCCAGGTAAAATGTCGAATGATTCTTGGAGAATATCCAAGGACTAGTTGGGGTAGAGCTGAAATGTGTTTGAAGTTAATAAATCTTAATAAATATGAGGTGGAAGACTGCCTAGAGGCTGTCAAAAGCAACACTTATTATAATGATTGCATACAATTTTTGGAATGCGAATGTTGCATGTGTTTGAATACTTATCCCAGGCACAAGGTTTTTATTTTATTTTAATTGTTACAATTTATTTTAATTATTACAATTAATTTTAATTTGCAATTTATTTTAATTTACAATTTTTTAAAATTTATTTTAATTTATTAAAATTGGATTAATTATTTAGTGATAATCTAGGAATAGACTGTTTAATAAGATTGTTTTTTAATTGGGTTGAAAGTGTGTTAGTTCCTTTTGCTAAACAAATAAAAAATTTCTTCCACATAAAAAGTATTTCTGATAAATTATCATCAAAACTTTACAAAGTGTTTAGTTAATGTTTTCTTTGCAGCATGTTGAAATACTTTTTTAATTCTTTATTTTTTTATAATTAAAAATAAAAAACTTTTTATATATAAAAAATTTATATAACAATTCTATGTAATAATTTTATAATTGTATTATTTTTTTGTTATTTTTTTTAATTGTTAGATATGATTCATGATTATAAAAAACAATCAGTCTAGGAGAGTCTGCATTTCAAATAATTTATTATAATTAGAACACGGATGTGGAGCTTTCTCTGCTCCTTGTGGTCCATCTACTATTTTTGCTGACAGTTTTTGTATACTTGACTCTAAATAAATTTAGTTCACGCTGTTAGTGAGTAAAACTCACTAATAGTACAGCAGGTTGTGTTTTCCAAAAAATATGATTGGTATTTGATGGTAAATACAAAATAAAGGTTCTACAGAGCAGATCAGAAATTCAAATTCAAGTTTTGCAGGTGCAGTTTAGTAGTTGAGGTCATATTATATAAATTATTAAATAGCATTTAACCAAGAGGTTCATACCTCCATCCTTACCAATGTTGCATATATGGCCAGAGCCGGCATTGAACCAGGGTCCTCTAGTTCTGAAGCGAGAGCTCTAATCACTACATCATGGTTGCTTATTGAATTATAAGCAGCCTTGTATAATTGAAATATAAAATTTTGAATTCAAGTTCAATAATTGTGTTACTTATTATGTTATATAATTTATTTTTAGTTTTTAGCTTAAACTTAATTTAATAAAATAAAATTTAAAAGTTTTTCAAATTTCTTTATCATTAAGTTTTTTTTAAAAAGAAATTTAAATTTTTTTTTTTTACATTACTTGATATTAAATAGACTAAAAATAGACTCTTGAAATTTGACTTTTTTGACTAAATTGACCCTAAATTACATGCACTATTATTACATATTTAATATTGTATTAAAATTAACCCTATATTAAATATTATTTTGTATCAATTTAACAGTAATTTTTTTAATTTTTCAAGACAAAATATTTTGAATTAGAAATAATGATAACAGCTGGAAGGTCTAGACCCGCAAAATGGGTTATGATAGGTCTAATTCACACATCCCACGTAATTTTAAGTTATAAGAAATGGTAGAAAGTGATGATCTTAGTTTCGTTGAAGATTTAATTTAATGTTTCCTTTTGCTATTAGGAAATTTAACTATTGTTCTGTTTTATTATCTATATTTATTTTATTTAATAATGCGGCAGAAATTCAAAAAAATAATAATAATAATATGCTAAGCAAATATATCAACCTACATTAGAGCTGTTAGCGTATGCCAACCATATAATTATGCATTCATCTGAGTCATATTTTACAAATGCGGACAATATTTAGCTAAAAGTATGCAGAACATATTTTGCCTTATGGATCTTTTTATTTTTCGACTACTTCTGGCACAACACTTTTTGTTTTTCTTAATTATTTTGTTTAAGAGAAAATATACATAAAAATACAGAGAAGTATAAAATTACTAAAATATACACACACTTATGTATATAAACTTATGTAAGCTAACATGTAATAACATGTTAGCAAATAAGAAATTATATTTATATTTTCAAGTTATTTCCAAAATATTAACAATGCAACAAAAAAATCTATAAATCTGATAAACTAAAAAAATAAACTGCATATGTATCAAAACATATATGTTTACAAATATAAACATAGTCAAAAAAAAAGTAGATTTAAGTTATAATTAAATTTAAAAATAGAATTATTATTTAGATACAATAAAAGTATAATTAAGTTAAAAAATGAATGACAAAGTAAAATATTAATTTTAAGTTATATATACCTGTTACCTGATTTGTTCACGTTAAAAAGTTTGATGTTAATAAACTGCCCAAGAGAATAAATGGCAATCGATATAACTAAGCGCATTAAATTAGACTTTTCATATATAGCCAATTACACGTTAGAAGATTCTATTTTAGCCAATTACATTTGTTATAACAATTGTAACTAAGTGCATTAAACAGTAACTAAGTGCATTAATCATTAACTGGAGGAATAATAATAATGTACAATACTGTAATATACAGGATAATATACAATACTGTTGATATTGAACACCATGTTAAATTTTTTACGAACATAAATTAAAAATTTATAATCAAATAAGTTGAGATTTTTAACTTCTGTTGTTTTAATTTGATGTTTGTTTTAGAATTTGACTTTTATATTTGTAAATATTTACAATTATTTTTTTTATTATAAAAATTCTAAATTAAATAATTATCCTCATAATTTAAATTTAAATTTTTTTTAATGAGTGAATATATGTTTATTACCTCGAGTATTTAATGATGAACCTGTAAAATTTATTTAGCATGAATGCTGAGAAGGCTTTTTTGCAAGTTATTTTCACCCTGTCATGATACCATTTATATATTTGTATGAAATCTTGTGTTGTTTGTTGTTTTAAAAATATCAATTAGCCTACCATTGTATGAAAAAAATATGAAAGCACTTTAATTTTAATACTTTAAATAAACTTTAAAGCCTTAAATTTTAACATTAAATTTATGATTACAGTGTTCAATTAAAAAAGAAAAAAAAATTATACGAGATGTTAAAAAAAATATGTTTTTTAATGTTATTATAGAGTTTCTGTGAGCAACTTTCATTAATATAATAATTTTTTGATAAATTTTTAAAATTTAAATAAATAAACTTAGGTCATTTAAAAACATTTTAAAAAGTTACTTTTTCATTTGTTGATTTTATACTTTTAAAATAAACAAGTTAAATATTTTTTTTATTAATTACTTTCTAGCTTACATCAAATCTACATTGCCAATGTCAATATTGTTTTGATTGCTACATTGAATATTTGGATGTAAGTATCACTCAAAATCATATACGTAATTTGGTTTGCGCAAACTGTCAATTACCCACAGAGGAAGCTGCACATAAATCAGAATATTTCGGAAATTTAGATAATCAGGTCAGATTCTTACTTTTATTCAAAAAAATATAATGTAATGTTAATATAAAATGAAATTAAAGAAAAATTAAAAATTTTTGTGGATGCTCCAATACCCATTCATATTTTTATATACAGACATGACAAATACAATATTATTTGTGACAATATTTATTTACATTTTGTATAGATAAAGTTATGAAAATGGTGAATTATTAAACAAAATCTTTTTAAGAAAGTTGTAGATGTGTTTTGGGATTTAAGGAATTTTATTTTCATATTTTAGGATATTCTTGGTAAATTAGGATGGATCTGTTTTTTAATATAATTAATGAATGGTCCCAGTAGAGATCTAGACCAATTTCTAACTGTACAACATAACATTTTACTGTGCCTCATAATTTCAATGAATGTGCAGCATTATATCTTTAAATTATGTTTTGTTTGCTATCATATCACTAGAGGTTCTATTTTTATTAAAGTTCTATAAAAAGCATATGGTTTTGGGTTAAATAGGTACTTTCTAATGAACTGTAACTTTCTAATGTACTGTAACTTTCTTATGTACTGTAACTTTCTTATGTACTGTAACTTTCTAATGAACTGTAGCTTTCTAATGTACTGTAACTTTCTTATGCACTGTAACTTTCTAATGTACTGTAACTTTCTTATGTACTGTAACTTTCTAATGAACTGTAACTATCTTATGTACTGTAACTTTCTAATAAACTGTAACTTTCTAATGAACTGTAACTTTCTAATGAACTGTAACTTTCTAATGAACTGTAACTTTCTTATGTACTGTAACTTTCTAATGTACTGTAACTTTCTTATGTACTGTAACTTTCTAATGAACTGTAACTTTCTAATGTACTGTAACTTTCTTATGTACTGTAACTTTCTAATGTACTGTAACTTTCTAATGAACTGTAACTTTCTAATGTACTGTAACTTTCTTATGTACTGTAACTTTCTAATGTACTGTAACTTTCTTATGTACTGTAACTTTCTAATGAACTGTAACTTTCTTATTTACTGTAACTTTCTTATGTACTGTAACTTTCTAATGTACTGTAACTTTCTTATGTACTGTAACTTTCTAATGAACTGTAACTTTCTTATGTACTGTAACTTTCTAATGAACTGTAACTTTCTAATGTACCGTAACTTTCCAATGAACTGTGACTTTCTTATGTACTGTTACTTTCTAATGAGTTAATCCTAGAAGATGAAGGGCAGATGACTCATCGAGTACATTACCGTTCATAAATATAGGAAGGTCTAAATTATTGCGATAACGATTGGCTGAGAAAAATTGAGTTTTATCTAAATTAAAATTCACCAGTCACTGTGAGCCCCATGCTGTAGCAGAAGTGAGATCATTTTCAAGCTTAAATGCCCCCTGCAAGAATTCAGAGGGAGTTGACTTCTTATCGTGACAAGAATAAATGGTAGTATCATCAGCGAACAATGCCACCTTAGATGTGAGAATATCTGGAAGATTGTTAATGTATATTAAAAAGAGTATAGTGCCAAGGATTGAACCTCGAGGAGCCCCTGAGGTTACAGAATAAGAAGAAGAGTGCTGTCCATCAAGGACAATTTTATTCGAAAGAAAGGATTCCATAATCTTAAAGATGGTTCCAGATACACCGTAAGAAGAAAGCTTATGAAGAAGACCAGCATGCCAAACTTTATCAAATGCTTTAGAAATGTCAAGAGCAATGGCCTTAACCTCTACACCTTTATCTAATGCACGATAAAACCTATAGGTTATTACTGTTAGCAAATCAGCCGTAGAACAAGAAGATTGAAATCCATATTGATGATCAGAAAGTAGGTTATGAGATTCAAAATGAGTGATTAAGTGTTTGTTAATTAAAGATTCAATAACCTTGCTTATGATAGGAAGAAGACTAATGGGACGGTAGTTAGATGAATCGGATCGCTCTCCAGAATTTTTAAAAATAGGGATAACAGATGGTGCTTTCAGCAGGCTGGAAAACAAGACTCTGATAAGCACTTGTTAAATAGTTTTGAAAGGATAGACGACAGCTCTGGAGAACGCTTCTGCAAGACTATAACAGGTATGTTGTCCGGGCCGCAAGCTTTAGAAGAGTCTAAGCAGGAAATCACTATAGATACAGAAGCTGGAGTGATATGGATGTCGAACAATGGATCAACCTGTTTGACGCCTATATCAGGTAGAGTGCAACTAGTGGAGTCAAGAGATGATATTGATGAAAAGTTCTTAGCAAACAATTCAGCTTTGTCTTTAGATGAGGTGACAAAGTCTGAACTTTACAAAAGAGGTGGAATTACAGACTTGCCCTTATTATTGATATTACTAAAGATTCTCCAGAAGTCATGAGAGCCTAACTTTTGTGATGAAATACGAGATTTTATGATCTGACAATAGTAGGCTTCGGCGTTAGAGAAAACATTTTTACAATGGTTCCTAGCAGTAATAAACAGACGTCTGTTTTCTGGAGAATTGTTTTGCTGATAGATATGGAAGTAATGGTTTCGATTGGCAATTGCAGCAGCACAATGCGAGGAAAACCATGGAGAAGAGTGAGGTTTGACCTGGAATCGTCGAGAGGGAATAAAGGATTCCATGCCAGCCTGAATCCACGAAGTTATGTAAGAAGCACATTTGTCAACAGGACGAAAGATTTCTACTCATGGGCCATCACAAAAAAAATCAGGAAAAGAGTCCCAGTCAGCTTTAAGGTAGTTGTAAGATGTACGATGATAGGGGGATTCTGATGATAAAGAAGAATAAGATAATAGTTTTAGAGAGACCAAACCATGATCAGAGGCACCTAAGGGTGAATGTGGAGAAACTGAGCACTGACTAGGATCAGAAACAAGACATAAGTTGAGTAGAGAAGGTAAATGATTCGGGTTATCTGGAAAGCGAGTTGGTAAGTTGACTATTTGAGTTAGGGATTGAGAAAGGCAAAAGTTGTGGGCCTTAATGCCTGCAGAGTTACTGACACTAGAGTAGACTTATGTAGAGTTATATTTAAATCAAAAAAAAAAAGTTCTTGAAAAATTATATTATTACATAGAGTAAAATGGGGTAATTTTGCCACTTTAGACGTTTCTCCACCAATTGATGTATATTTACTTTTATAACTATAACTTTACTCAGGAATATGATTTTTTAATAATTCAAATTTCTATTAGAAGAAAAACAAGTTTCTTATCAAATTATGTAAAAAAAATCTTCATTTTGTGAAAACTTGTTAAAAAAATTATTTGACAAAAATAATCTATAAAAAAAAACGACTAAAATATTGGAAATTTTTCAAAGAATCTTGGTATTGTTTTTTTTTTTCTAATTTTGATCAGTTCTAAAGTTATTACAGAAATACTAAATTTTGCCACCTATTTATATGAAATAGAAATGCTCTTTGATTGGATAATTTATAATATTTCCTTTCCTCTTGTTTTGGTAATTAATTTCTCAGGTCATCTTGGTCTTATAATCAATTCAAATTAATTAAATCGATCAATTATCAGCAACAATGCCACAAAACTATTTCAGAAAATCCTTCACCAATTATTGCAAAAATTAAAGCTGGCGAACTGAGTTGGAAGCGAGCTACAGAACTATCCTGTATACCTCGAAGAACACTAGGAGGAAGAATTCAACATTCAGAATGGATAGCTGGGGCTGGTACATTAACAAATCTCCTAAAATATCCTACATTTCTTAAAAAAAAAAAAAAAAATTGGGTAAAATGGGTGGAGGGATCATGCCCCAATACCTCTTGGTATCGATGGCCCTGCCCCCACTTATTGAATATTGTTAGATTTCTTTTATTTAACTGATTGTAAACGTTTTTTTAAGATTTATAATTTAATATTAAAAATTTGTTGTAAATAACATAGGTGGCAAAATTCTCCCAAATTAGATTTTATTGGGGTAATTTCGCCACCCCATTTTTTCTGTTTTAATTATTTTCAAAAAAAATGTAAAGTTTATAAAAATATAATTAACAATAAAAAAATAATTTAAATTTCATTTTTAGTTCTCAAGTTATTTAAATTAAAAATTAGATGACATAAAAGACGAATATTGATAAAAGACTACAAAGAATTAATATAATAATTTTAGTTTTTATAATATAATAACAAAAATATATTGTAAGTATAATAAACAAATAAGGAAAATATAAACTGAAAAACACTTATTATACATAAAATTAAGGTTAATAAAAGTGAAAAACGCATTAAATACACAAAAATACACAACATATAAATATAACAATAAAAATTTGTATAAATATAACAATAATAATATAATTTTCTTTCAATGATATTATTGTTTCTATCAAACTAACGTATTTCATTTCATTTTTTTTTTTTTTAATTTTACACTTTTGAACTATTTTTTCTTTTAAAGGGATCCCAAAGTGCCGAGACAATTTGTGTTTATTTTAAAGACAATGATAAAAAAAAAATGTTTGGGCAGAATTTTTTTAAGTAAAACAAAATAATAAATGTATAGCAACAAAAACAAACTTTGTTGTTTTACTTGATGCTCGCCGTTTCTCTGAAAGTCTTTAAAATATACATCGCAATCTACAGACTTTGTTTTCGAAATGTTTTAACTACTATTTATAAAACAAAGGTTTTGCATTTCTTATTGTTCAATGATGCGTTTTAAAAACTTTTTTAAATAAAAAGTTCATTTGTTTAGCTGTTTATTGATATATACTTTGCTATGCTTTCAAAAAGATTAACAATTCGAATTTTAATTAGTTGTCAATGTCTTTTAAATTTTATTCAAATAAATGTGTAGTTGTAGCGTAAAAATATTTGTTAAAATGGCTGGTAGCGAAAGAGTTAACCTTATGAAAGTTTAATTAACAGCATTTATTTGCTTAACTTCTCATCATTTACAAGTATTCTCAAAATTCTTATTTAATCATGCCAGAAATTTAATGAAATTTATTTTGTAAAACATGTATCAAGTAAATTTTTTAATTGAAAGCGTTTAATGAAAAACTTTTTATTGTCAATTTTGGTAATTTTTTGATTTGTTATTTTAAGAGACAGGTTGGTATCAAATACCTGCCATACATGACATAAATTGAAAAGTATTAAATACAATATGTTTTTTAACGCGCGCTGCAACAATTTTAATCGCCATCTGTCTTTAGTTATTGCCATAAAACATTATTTATTGCTTTAATTAATTAAAAACTGTAAATTTGTTTAGTGTAAAATCTATAAATATTTTTAAATAAAAATTTAAGAATTCAGCAAATATCTCTAATAAATGATGTTGTTTACTGAAATTCTTTATTAATTAAAAATTTAAGAATTTGTAAAATGTCATTTTGATAGGAGAACAAAAACGTCATAGCAATAAATGACTTAGATAAACTAAAAAAAAAGTTCACATTTTTTACATAAAAAGAAAAAAAGATTTAGAAAATAAAAAAGGTGATCAACGATATATTTATTTATTATATTTATTATATATTTATTTTGTTTAAGAGTGTAATATAAATATCTTAACTTTATTTGGTTCTTGCGCACTATAAAAAATATAATTTTTATGTTTAGCTTCCTATAAAATAAGAAACTCTTATTACGATTAATATGATTTTTTTAATACAATTGATAATAAAGGCTATTTTAAAAAACAAATAAAACAATAAATAATATTGATTCAAAAAAAAAAAATCTACAATGACGTCATTTACTATAACTCTTTGAAATTAAATGCGCTTGAATAAATTATTAAGTCTGTAGATTGCTGCGTATATTTTAAAGACTTTCAGAGAATAGCTACTGTGGAAACGGCAAGCTTTGAGCAAAACAACAAAGTTTGTTTTTGTTGGTATACATTAATTATTTTGTTTTACTTAAAAAAATTCTGCCCAAACATTTTTTTTTTATTGTCTTTAAAATAAACACAACTTGTCTCGGCACTTTGGGATCCATATAACGAATCTTTTTTTTCTATTTGGTACGTTATTTTGACTTGTTTTTTATCTTTATTTGTTTATATCTTTTAATCTTGTTTTTACTTCATTTTGTTTTATAATTTGATATTTTTAAAATAGTATTTTGATTTTTCTTCATTTTAATTTTTTCTTTTTTTTACCGTTAAATAAAAATATCAGCCATTTGTGATATCATTGCAAAAGTCAATTCATTACACTGAATGGTCATCACACTGAATGGCTCTATTGTCAGTGGCTCTACAGACGTTAAGCCCCCCCCCCCCAACTTTTGCCTTTCTCAATCTCAAACACAAATAGTCAACTTTCCAACTCGTTTTCCAGACAAAACAATCATTTACCTTCTCTATTTGACTTATGTCTTGTTTCTAATCCTAGTAAGTGCTCAGTTTCTCCACAATCACCCTTAGGTACTTCTAATCATGGTTTGATCTCTCTAAAACTATTATCTCATTTTTCTTCATTATCAGAATCCCCTTATTATCTCTTCACCTCTTACAACTACCCTAAAGCTGACTGAGATTCTTTCCATGATTTTCTATGTTATGAAATCTTTTGTCTTTCTGCTGAAAAATGTGCTTGTTTAACTTCTTGGATTCAGGCTAGCATGAAATCTTTTATTATCTCTTGACAATTTTAAGTCAATTCTCACTCTTCTCCATGGTTTTCCTCTCATTGTACTGCTGCAATTTTCCAATTATAACCATTATTTTCATATCTATCAGCAAAACAGCTCTCCAGAAAACAGACGTCTGTTTACTTCTGCTAGAACCATTATAAAATGTTTTGTCTAACGCCAAAGCCTGCTTTGGCATTAGACAAAGCAGGCTTCACAAATCATGAAATGTGATTCGTAACCTTAGGTCTTGAAGTCATTCTCGAATATTCTCAGGTCATGAAGTCTCATATTTGATCTCAAAAATTAGACTGAATTTAATATTATTTAAATATAAATGTTTATACTGATTTTACAATTTAGTAGCCTTAAGAAACTTTTTTTTTTAAAAAACAAAAAAAACAAAATGTTTCCAAAGGGTTTTCCTAAAAGTTTAAATGAAGTTCAAATTCCATTCAATTGATATAAATTTAATAAAATAATTTTCTTGTGAAAAAAGTAACTTAGTACAATTTGATTTTTTAGCTTTAAGCTCAAGTGTTTTTTTATAAACTTTCCTAATAAAAAAGACATGTGAACTTTAATGCAATCATTAATATTCTGGAGAATATTAATGATTGCATTAACATGTATATATAACATATATAACTATGCATTAACAGTATATATAACAAGGGGAAATCTATTATTCCCTCTCTCTTGTATGGTTCAGATTTTGTTACCTCACCTAAAGTCAAAGTTGAGTTGTTTGCTAAGAACTTCTCATCAATATTATCTCATTCTACCTGATAAAGCTGACTTCATTGCCTGACTTTCGTATCACTTCAGCTTCTGTATCTAAAGTGATTACCTACTTACACTCTTCTACAACTTGTGGTTCGATAAGACTAAAACATACCTGTTATAGTCTTGTAAATGTGTTCTCTGGAGCTGTTGTCTATACTTTCAAAAATATTTAACAGGTGCTTATCAGAGTATTATTTTGTTGTTATCTTTATTTTCAAAAGTTCTGGAGAGCAATCTGACTCATCTAACTACCGTCCCATTAGTCTTCTTACTGTCATAAGCAAAATTTTCAGTATTTAATTACAAAAACTTAATCTCTCATCTTGAATCTAATGACTTTCTGATCATCAATAGGTTTTGATTTTCTAGTTTATTTTTGTCATGCATTAAATAATTTATCATGCGTTAAATGTGGAGAGGCTATAGCTCTCGCATTTCAATTTCGTTTGCATATTTTATTCTTTCTTTTGATTAAGTTTGTCATGCTGGTCTTCTCCATAAACTCTCTTCTTATGGTGTATCAGGTAACATCTTCAAGATTAATAATCCTTTCTTACCGATCATAGTATAAAAAATGTCTTTAAAAGTTTCCAGTGGCTGGTGAACTTTTAGTTAATTGTTATTGCAATCATCTAGATCTTTTTATATTTATGAACAGTAATGTACTCGATGAGTAATTCTTTTAGGATTAACTCTTACTTCCATTCTTTTTTAGAGACCATATATCAAATCAATTGCAAAATTAGCATCTGCTAAGGTTGTATCACTTTATCGTGCTCGCCACTTTCTTACTCAAGATTCTATTCTTTAAATCTCTATAAATCTCAAATTCGTCCTTGTATGGAATACTGTTGCCATATTTGAGGCAGATCTTCCAATGATACTCTCTCTCTTTTAGACAAGGTGCAAAAAGAAAAAAAATTTTTTTTTGCACCTTGTCTAAAAGAGGGAGGGAATTTTGAGAGAAGAAAAGAGAGGCCTTGTCTTGTCTAAAAGTCTTGTCTTAACCTTGTCTAAAAGAGAGAGGGAATTTTGTCTAAAAGAGAGAATCCCAAAGAACTGATGTTCTCTCAAACATCAGTCCTTTGGGATTTGCTTCCTTCATCTTGTTTTCCTGAATCATGTAATTTGCAATCTTCTAAGTCTTCTATTAATTGTATCTTGCTCTATGAACTTTCTAATATATCTTGTTCTATGAACTTTCTAATATATCTTGCTCTATGAACTTTCTAATAAATCTTGCTCTATGAACTTTCTAATATATCTTGCTCTATGAACTTTCTTCTTGTTCTATAAACTTCATATTGCTTTATAAACTATAAAACTTAAATATTCTTTTTTTAGTAATTTTTTCTTCTTTTTTTTTTAGGTTCAGCATTTTGTGGCTACAAATAAATTGGCACCTGAACGTCATACATTGTTTCAAGAGAAATTAAGAGATTTTAATTTATTAAGTGATCCAAAATTCAGATGGTGTGCTCATGTAAGTGAGAATCATGGCATAATTATGACATAACAAGACATTAATATGCTTTTATGCTTTTAGAAATTAAAAAAACAAACAAGTAAAACCAATTAATTTTTGTTCATTATGTTATGTATTAATGTTTATTACATTACTTTATAATCTGGCTTTGCCAGGAAGGCCAATTTCAAGCCTTTTTATGGCCATGCAAATAATTTTGAGGATTTGGCCACATTTTATAACAAAAGTGCTAAAAGAAATGGTTTTTAATTAAGTTGAAAGTATATAATTTCATCACATTTATCTTTAGTTATGTTTTTATATTAGCAAAACGCTTTTAAATAAAGTAACTAATGATTTTAACTTAAATATCAATAAAATTTTTATTTATATTATTTGATTATATAAGATTTTTTATAGTAAATGTAATTTAAAAAAAATAAGAAGAATTTTTTAACCGTCGACTTTAAAAATGATTGTCTCTTTAATAAACTTTATATAAGAATCATTAAAGTTGATACACTCGAAAATAAATAAAGATTTTGTTGAGGAGAAAAAAAAGACAAACTTTTTTGAAAGCCGTTTGAATTATAAAATTTTAATCTTTAATTATGTTTTTATATTATTGAAATACATTCAAATAAAGTAACAAATCACTACTAATAATTTTTGCTTATGATTTTTTAATAAATGTACGCATTTATTAAAAATGTACGCATTTAATAAATGTTATTTTATTTATTATTTATTAAATTATTTATTAAATATTTATTAAAAATCATTAGAAGTTTTTACTTTACTTAAAATTTCTCATAATTTTATGTTATAAAAACATTAGTAAAACTTTTTCAAAGTTATTTATTCCAAACTTAATCTAAATAGTCTTAATTTATAAATTCAAAACATATTGACAGTTGTGGTCAAGTTTTCAAAGCCAAATAGTATCTGCGTGGTCATAGTATGGCGTGAAATTACACGTCTTCTTGGCCAAGCCTGATTATAATTCAGTATTTAACAGTTTTCATTCACTTTCATTTTTCTGTCTTTATGTAATTTTATTTTATATAATGTATATATTTCAGTATGAAAGAGTATTTCGTTCATTGAATTAATTCAGTAATAATTAAATTAATTCAGTAATAATTAAATTACATTAACTCAGTATTAATTTAGTATTTAATGTACCCATTCAGTAATTAATCTGTTGGCAAAAAATCAAAAAGCTTTTTTAAAGCTTGGATATAAATCCAAAAATCTGGTTACAATGTCCTTAGCAGAAAATCAAGTTTTAAATTTTGCATAAAAGTGCATTTAAACTTGAAAAATATTTTGTTATAAGACTTTAATTTTTGTCACTTTTAATTAAATGCTTAAAATTAATATTGTCAGAAATATTGCAATAAAAAGTTTTTTGAAAGAAAATATTCAATTTTTTATTTTGCATAAAATTGCACTAAATAAATGTTAAGCATATTAAAAATTTGGTATTATTTTAGTATTATTATATTATTTATTATAGTAATACTTTAAATTCAAAAGTAAAAAATAATTTTCTTTAATTCTGGCATTCTTAAGTATAATTTTTTAATTAATGATTTCTTCTTTATGAAGTATACAATCTAGTAAATAAATTAAAAAAAAAATTGTTAGTTGTCGTGCTTCATCGAGCTAGACTCCAGAGTCTTAAGAAAGAACCTTGAAATTACTTCAGAGAAATCATATACTTTTTTAAAAAACAATAACTATATAAATTAAATTATATTTAAATTTAGAACTTTTATAAATAAAAATTACCTGGAAAAACTGGAATTGGGTTCAGCTGAGAGGGTTGCAGTATCAATGACTGATGCTGTAACTCTCTCAGCTGTCACAGAGTCACATGACTTTTGCTAAATTCTTTTGCAGACTTTAAACAGTTGTGTGAAAAGCAAACTTTTGAAAAGCATTCAGAATATCTTTGTTCAACTGTGTTTCAATTTAAATCAAATTTTCGGCTAAATAAAAAAATTGTGTTTTGCTTTACCAACTAAGCAAATTAAACAGTCACAAACAAAATCTCTTGTAAGAGGGCGAACTTTTAAAGTTGCAGGGCAAACTTTTATAGTTGCGCTAATTAAATGATCACAAACACAATCTCTTGTAACAAACTTTTATTTGTAGTTAAAAAAGGCTTATCTCCTGTTTGCAGCCTCCAAATATTGGAACAGTAGCAATCACAAGTGTCAGTTGAAAACTTTTGAATTATTTCAAGTCGTTTCAAGTCAGGTTCATTTAGGTTTCTACAAGTCGTCATTAAAGTCAATTGTTTCAAAAATTTGTTTAACTATTTTAATCATAAAGCTAGTTAATAAGCGTTTATTCTTACAAAGACACAAGAAGCAGACAAATGTTCCAGCAAAACATTTTACTGGAATAGTTTCAATAAAAAATGAAAATTTTTTTAGCAATTTTTATAGTAAATATTTAATAATAATTATTGTTATTAATATTATAAATTACCTATAATTTATTGTAAAATAAAATTATTATTGGTAGAAAATAAAAGTGATAACAAGTTTTACAATGGTTTTTATATATTTCAGGTTGATTATATGGTTTTATGCAAAATTTGTAATTTTCTTCTGTAGAAGGTGTCAGGATGTTAGCCAGGAATATATTTTTTACCACGTTTTTGCCATATTGGGAATATTTATTGCTATTGTCTTACAAAATTTTGGGATTTTTTATTGATATTGTCCTATTACTTCACACAAATGGCACAATGGCTGGCTAACACCCTGGGTGTAGCCAGGACTATCAGTAGTTCTATTTCCCCAACAAAGCATTTTGTGGGGTCATGACATTGTGTGGTTTTTCAACAGATACTAATTCGGTCACTGTTGTAAAAAGTTATACAAACATTGTGCATTCATTACAATATATTTCATAATTAAGGAAATTTTAACCTATTATTCCATCATAATTTTATTCATAAGTTGTTAAATTTGCAAACAAATTCTTTGCTTCTAGTGTCCTAGTTATGGCTTTATCTGGGAAAATGAAGATAATAAAATGCGCTGTAATAAATGTCAAAATTTTACCTGTTTTTTGTGCAAAGAGAAGGTAATTATCTTTTTTATATTTTTAGTTTTTAATTAGTAATTAAATTTATTATTTTTATTTTTCTTTATTCATATCTTTTTCTTTATTTATATCTTTTTCTTTATTTATATTAATTTTAAATTAAAAATTAATTTTGTTGTTAACAGTATAATTTTGATAGAAAGATATTAAGTTATGCTTGATTAACTCTTTTGTGGACAATTTTATTGGTTTAGTAGACGTTGTCTGCAATAGAAGTTCTGAAGAAGTAACCAAACTTCTTCAGTGCTACTTCAGCTTTACCTTTTAATAAATGTCCCAGTATTGTTTAGTTTTTATATCTGGCAAATAAGAAAATATGAATATTACCTACCAAGTTAGCTCAACTCTCAGAATTAGGAAAAACAAGGTCGGCAATAATTTGCTGACCTCTATCTTTTAGAGGTTGGCATCAGGTTGGCAAAAAAAGTTTGATAAAAAAGAGGTCGGCAATAACACACTTTATGGTCGGCAGTTAGGTCAGCATTGCCAAATGCTGACCCTAATGCCGAGGGTTGTTAGCCTCTATAGTTTTGGTAGTTACAGTTAGCTTGTATACTTTTGGTAGTTACAGTTAGCTTCTATACTGTTGGTACTTACAGAAAATGATGCTTTGTTGTAACTATGTAACTTGTTGTAAAAATGATTAAGCTTTTAGCATTGAGTTTTTTGTTCAAAAGTGCATTTCAGTGTGAAGCAATAGTATTTTAAGAAGAAAAATTCTTTTTAAAGGTTATTGTAGATAAAATAGTTTTTGACATCTTGACAGATAAAAATAGGAACAATCGTTCAAAATCCATGTCAAAATTTATTTTATTTATTTAGTGGCTGCCTCAGCATGATGGAATTACATGTGAAAAATTTAAAGAATGGAAAGATGCAAATGATCCCGAACTTCAAAAAGCCTGTGCTACTGATCTGTTATCTAAAAATGGAATAGGTACCTGTTTGTACATTTTCAATATGTTTTTTATTTTACATTCGAAAAGATTTTTAGCAGTTTTGATTTTTCTATTATTTTTTGTTTCACTTTATTTTACATTTTATTAATTACATTCTTCGATTTACTTTTATGGTATTTTCTTTAATTAGTTTTCTTTCTATTTAAATTCAACAAGGTTGCATAATTTACAAATCAACAATATATTTTATAATTTAGCATAAAATAGATTTACATATAATGATGTTTAGAATTTTTCAAACATCAGACACTTTCTGATGTATAAAAAAGGATAATGTATAAATATGTATCTGATGTATAAAAAAGGGGTCACATTGTACTTAGGATTTGTAATTAAGTTTTTCCAAAAAACACTGGTCAACAAAATGTTTTGCTTCTATCTTAATTTAACAAGTATCAAATATGGCAAAATTTTTTCTTTGAGGCATTTCATTGTGGTACTTGTACAGTTTAAATATTGTGCCCCTCCAGGTATTTGGTCAAGAACAATGATCCATGACATTATGTTTCTGAGTTATTGGTAATTACTCTCTATTATTTAATTAACTAAAATTTTGTTGTTTTTTTGACACTAAAATATATTTTCTTGTTATTTTAGATACAGCTTTGTCATGAAGATTTGTGTTTTTAATCCAGATTGTTTTTGCTATATTTGTGGCAAATATTTATTTTAAAAATATGGAAAACCATATTAAATATTGAACTTTGTATCATCATTATTTAAGTTATGTATCACCATTACTTTAAAATTGTGCAATCACCTCATATGTTTCTCATATAGTATGCCAAAAATAAGTCTTTCTATGGGTATGATTCAGTGGAAAACTGGATGCAATACAGTTTGTAACACCCATGATTTGCTGAACTGCTACTTCTGCATTGTCAAAATAAATACAATTGATTTTAAAAATAAGAAAACCAAGAGTTACTTAAGTGACTTTTTAACTCAATACAACCTCAATATAAATCACTAAAAGCACAACCTTATTTCTCATAATATTTCAAATAAAAACTCTGATCCAGACTACAAGGTAATCACTCTAATGTCCACTTTACTACCAGTCCAATCATTTAATCAGAAAGAACATCATGGCTTAATAAGAGATCAGAACTTACCAAAAAAAGCTTCTATAATTTTGGCATTTTTTCTAAGTATAAAAAAAAAAAATTGTTTATTCCGGAAACTAGCATCACTTTTTATTGTGCCAGAGAAAAAAAATTTTACAGTATTTTTCTCAAAAGAAGCAGTTTCTTTTGTAAAAATGTTGGTGGTATTTTGTAGTAGATGAGTTTAAAAAACTACAAACTTGATTGGTGTCATTTTATAGACAGAAGCAAAAGTTTAAAGTGTGTTTCGCTACATAACAGTATCAACCACAGATCCACACCATTGCGCATTTAAAGACTTTGAATAAGGAATTCACAAGTGTTTCTAAGGTTATGAAAAAATTAAGAATCAAGACTACAACTTGGAATATAAGTTGGTTTCAAAATGCTTTTTTTTCATTTAGGTCAATGAGAGTGGTACACAAAGCTCCCTTCTTTTATTTGTCTCTGGGTCAGTCCTAGCAAGTAATACCATTAGTAACAAAAAGTTTGACTTGTTTGCACAGGAAGAGCTAAAAATTGGTATAAAAAATATGATAAATGGTCCTTTAGTTAGCTGAAATTGCATCATACTTTCCCAACTTTATATTAAACTTGTCATAATGTCTTTGATGGTCAAAAGTTTCAATTTATTTTTTACACAAGTTTTCAGGATTAAGTACAGAAAAATAAAAGCGAAAAATAAAATTTAGATGGGCCATTAGAAACTTTGTAAATTTTCCTAATTTTATCATATCCAGCGGTTGGTACTCATTTTTTCGATTAAAATTAGTTTTTTAGGTAACAAAAAATATGAAGACCATTTTAAGCTTGTTGGATGTATGCTTTTGAACTTGCAAGAACTAGAATGCAGCATAAAAATTCAGTTATCAGGGATAGTGGGATTTACATAGATAGCAGACTACTGCAAGAGTTTGCAACAAAATCTCCTTGAGTAGTTTTTTCAAGGAAATATTATAAAAGATAATTTGGTTGTGTTGAATTAAAATTTCGTTAACTTATGTATTAATTTTCTTGTTTTTTTAGTCAAAACGGCAAAAAAAATTTTATTTCAAAAAGTACTGAGTACTTTTTTCATTGTCATTGCCATAGAAAAAAAAAAAGGCTTGGTCGGGAAGTGGGAGCAATCGCTCTCGATTACTGACCACGTAAATAATATTTTGTTGCGAAAAGCTGGCCAGATTTTTTAGCCGTTTTGAGAACATTTTAAAAAGCAAAAAAAAAGCGCTGAAGATTAATTGGACCGATAAAAGACAATTACAAAAAAAAAAAAAAATTGGAAAATAAAATATCTTTAAACTTAAAGCTAAATAAATTACATTTAGAACAAATATTTTCGAAAAATCACTCTTTTACATTTTTTTTTATAAAATTAAGCGATGTTTTTTATATAAAGTAACAACTTACAATTGTTTAAAAGGGAAACAAATATTCTTTATTTATCTAAGTTTGCAAGTTTTAGTTTTACTTAAGGTAAATTATTTTATAAATAAAAAAGTTAATTTTTTTAATACCTATTTTATGTTTTGCGTAGTTTGAAAAGTTCAACATATTTGAAGCAATTCTTCTTAGTAAGATAAACAAATGAAATAATTAAATCATTGAATTACTATAGGAATTAAATTATCAAGATAGAAATCAACTAAAAAGGTTAAAAATACTTAATGACCAGGAAGCCAAACTGCTTCACAATATCGCTGATGATGTTTAGTGAGTGGGCTTTCTAATTTTAATTTGTATTTAAAGCAGAAAAAAGTAAAACGAGTTTTAAGAATGGCAACTTAAGCAAAAATAATTAGAGTTAGTAAACCAATATCTAGATACTTTTCTTTATATCTAATTATTTGCTATATATATTTGTATTCTGTCGTTCAGGCGCGATGCTTGTTCATCCGCGAGTTACTCTGTATGCGTTGTTTGTGTTTAGTAACCAGAAACTTCTTATATGTTTGTTACATAATTAGTTTTATTAACTTTAGCGATTATAACTTCATTGAAAACGCAATTATTTTTGTAAGTCTTTGTTTAAATCATAAAAATTGCTTTAAAAGATACATTACGATAAAAAACAAACACACAAAATTATATTTACATAAAGAATACAATCTCTTTTAAAATAAAAAATAAGAATATACTAATAAAATCTATGATTTATAATAAACTTTTAAAACTTTAACAGTTTAATCAATATATATTTAAAAATTTATTTTCGTAAACAAATAATATGTATTCTTAAAACAATGCTGGAAATCTCAAAACGCAACAAATCGTGAATAATACAGTTTCTAAAACATTTTAACAGAATACTCTAATAGGCGTTTTTTTTGAACCAATAGAATTAGTTTGTTCGTTAATTTGGCGGGTTTTTAGTGTTCGCAAATATTCTTTTTATTTTTTCGCACAAAGATGTTTTAAGAACATTCAAGTTTTTTATGTTTCCATGTTTGTCCGTAAAACAAAAATTTTTTGTTTCGTACATAAACTTAAATGTTCTCAAAACGACTAAAAAACCTGGCCAGTTTTACGCAACTAAATATAACTTCCGTGGTCAGTATTCGACAGCGATGGCTCCCGCTTCCCGACCAAGTCTGATATATACACAAATATATATATATATATATATATATATGTGTATATATATATATATATATATATATATATATATATATATATATATTTGTATATCTCTAATTTTATTTAATTTCTGCTTGACGTCCTTTATGGATAAATATGAATAAATTGTGTCCTCAAAAGAAAAATTTTAAAAATACAAAAATAGAAAAGGTTTGAAAATAGTAAACACGAGCTCATTAATTTCATATTTCACATTTATTGGGAATTCATTTTTATAATTAATATTAATTTTCAGCAAAAACAACTAATGTCGTTTAGTTACTAAAAAAAATATTAACTGCAAGCGATTGCATGCTATTGTGGCATTGAAGAATACCAAAAATTTTTTCATTCATAGCCATAAAATTTTATTACGACTATGGTTCATTCAAACATTTAAATTTGCTTTTACGTTTTAAATTCAAGCTAGCAGTGACTCTAGCACTAGCAGTGAGTTTTCTTGATTTTTAAATTTATAGTACCAGTTTGTTGTATTAAAAAAATATTTGGCTGTCCATAAATTACGTCAACAAAATAGGAGAAAGGGGTGTCTGAATTTTTTTGAAATTTGTTGACAAATGGAGGTAAAGACAAGTTGATGTCAACAATGTTACTTTTTTAACAAATTTAGTTACTTAAAAAAGAAAATTTAGGTAGCGTTGGCAATTCTGAGTTAAATACTTGCCAAACCTTCAGTACTTTAATAAAGCTGTTTATATTCCTACTTTTTAACAACTGTGTTATGTTTTAAAAACACCTTACATGTACAGAATGAAGTAAGTACACATGGGATGTTTACTTGTAACACTATTATTTTTTCAAAGTTGTTGTTGGTTAGTCTGCTATGCAAACAAAAAGCCCAAAGTTGCATTTTACAAAGTTTTAGTCTGATGAGAAAACAAAAAAGATTTATGCAAGTCTACACTATATTACTTAAACGTTAATATCAGGTGTGGACAACCTGCAGTTGACGCGGCTCGTTAGCTTCATGCTCAAATGTTATTTAAACGTTAAGAACCACACAAGGTTTGTGAGCTGCAAATTGCCGATCCCTGGTATAAATGTTTAGATAATATAATGTAGACCATGTACTTATATAAATCTCATTTGTTTGCACATCAAACTGTAAATTTCAACTTTTGGCTCTTTTGTCTAAATAGATTGCTGACCCCTGGTTTATACAATTTGTTAAATGCATTTTTTGTTATACTAAACTCCCCAGTGGGCACCGGACTAAAAAAAAGGCGTCTTTTAGATGT